GATATATTCATGTGTAATACTTGCCACGTAAACAGTGGTGAACAGCTGCTACCCCTATTAAACCAGGCGGCATCACTGGTCCTCTAAGTACATAACATTTGCACTGATGAATACTTACATATCAAGCTTTTTCATGCAAAACTTCAGTATGATCCGCTCATATGAAAGTACTACCTGTAGGCATTCTCATGCGTATTTGGGCTCTACTCATAGATGGCTGACACAGTAAGATTTTACCAAGGGATGGGCTGCTCAGATCTGCTTATGTAGTGAATGTTACTCGAGAACAGGTTTCCTGAGTGGTAATACAGTCCCAAATGTTTGCTTATTCAGTGATGCTCTGTTAATCATTGTCTAAAAGTTGGATCCCATATATCAAGGGATAAACGGGTCACCCATCTCTTGTCTATATCAGTTCTTGTGTATTCATTTACAAGTATGTTCTACCTTGCTGCTGAGGGTAGCTGCAATTTTTTTTTTTAAAGGTACATGATACTATTTTTTTCAGAATAGGTATTTGTCAACCCTTCAAGGTAGGCCAGGTCAGGGAATAGACAACACAAGAACTATTAGAACTCAACTTTATTTTTATAGGGTATAACAACAGAATCTTGAAAGCCTGCCAGAGTACCCCTCTGCCCTTTCTTATACTATAAGAATCAAGGTGGGGTTATAGTGATTCCTTTCTCACTTCTTTCCCAGACTGAGTTATAATTATATAACAATTATATATTAATAAATAAAAATAATATAATAATATAGTGCCTGCATTCCTTCTTCAAGATTTTTTCTGTACTCCCCTATAGGCGTCATTACACATATTTTAGTTAAACATGCATTTTATTTTCAAATACACATCTCACGTCCATTTTAGAATGTGCTTGGGAATAAGAATTGTATTGTAAAATTTGACCGAAAGCATTAGTCTAGGAAACATGAATCAGATTAGCTTGTTTAAAAATGCACGTAGAACAAAATCCACAGATTTTGATGCATATCAAGAAGGAAACCAAAACTTCAAAATTGTGCGCATCAGTTCCAACAAACGTATCTCAGCAGAACCGGTACAAAGAATGGCTAGGTATTGCTATCTTAAATACAGGATTTGAGTCTTTTCTAGACTTCCCGTTTTATTTATACAATCTTTAATAAAAGGCACAAAGATTGATGTGATCGGAAGAGAGTGCTTTGGCTGCAACATCTGTCACCCCATTGATTGCCAGGGTAGATTCAGCTGACCTGGCTGGCTCGGTGGGTGTCTCTTCCTCCCTCACTGTGTCATGTGCATCGCTTCTGAAGCTGTGCACTTAGTGGAAGAGGACAACCATCCCAGACAGAGGGAGTGTATCAATCTTTGGTCAAGGGTGTGCGATAGCTGCACTCCCCTGCTAGGTCCTCCAAACGAGCTAGAAGGTCCATTTATAAAATTCCCCAAGTCTCGTCTGCTGTTACATGAAATGGCTCACACACACATTCCGGAACAATTCTCATTAAACAAAGCAAGATGCAGAATTCACTCAGCAGCATACAAACACAGACAATAGAAGAAAAATGATGACTTTCATTTCCAAAGACCTCAAAAACCACACAGTCAGATGGAGTATCAGCTACAACCAGCTAGAAAGATATTCTCCGTGTTCTTGATCCTGAACCAGCTTTCATTCACCTCCAATTCACCTCCCAAAAGGTATGTATATATTCTGCTTTTTAAGCATCACACATCCTTGTTCCACCAAGGATTGGACCAGGTTTCTAAAATGAGTTTGCAATTTCCCCCTAGCCCTAAGATGAAAAAGGAGAGGTAACCAGGAACCACAAAAGACACATGGGAGGAGTAAAAAATTAGAATCCATTTTTCCTCAAAAATAACAACATCCTCTAAGTATTCCCTGAAGTAAATACCCCAAAGTAAAGCTCAGCTAAAACACGAGATATGCACAATTTCCAAGTAACACGTTTCATTAAAAAAAAAAAAAACTTTTATCAGCTGTACACCTATAAAAGATGAATCACCAGAGAAGCCCTCAACACCAACCACTAGGCATATACAGCTAAAACATCATTGTGGAAGGAAGTGTTGGTATCAGTGAAACCACCAAGCATTTTTTCCGTTGATGATGGTATCATCATCATCATCGTCATCATCTTGTATGCCACCTGACTCCCAACAACATGAAGACTTATCTTATGGATACCCCAAAAGCTGTGATAGGATCCAAAGTCAATTAAAATTTTTAGGATTTAGTTAGATTGCCAAGTCAACCATTAGTGTTTTTTTGTTTGGAAGAGCACCTGTTAATACAAGTTTACTGATTGGACTGTGGAAACCCTGACAAGCTGTGAGTTAGATGGACCAGTGGATTTGGTACAAGGCACTTGGTATATTCTTAGAAATGTAAATTCAGCTCACTTGTATGCATTTAAAAACCTCACCAACGTACCCTTCCAAAGCAAAACAGTTTGTAATTTTGCAGCACAATCTGCCCATTACTGAACTCTTCCCATCAACATTCAATTGTGCCTAGAGAGTGCAACGTTTTCAGGAACAATCACATAAATGAACAGCACTTTTGACATGTACAGAGTGTTTCCTCTCAAGTATCAAAAGAATACAAACAAGCACTTTCTGAAGCCTCTTAAAAGTTTGGGATCAGCTGGGAGGGCAATCTGGATTTCAAAGCTAATTGCATGTATTCTGATTTATCATAGAAGATTCAACTCCTGGCATTTTGCATTTGCTCCAAAATGCTGGCATAGCTGGAAGTGTACGGAAAAAAAGATGCTGTAACAATCTCATTGTTTAGTGTTTGACAGCCTGACTAGCTAAACATCTGTTTGAAATATTAATAACTGTCAGATGGGAACAGCTCAGGGGCTCTATATGGTTTCATACCATCTGTTTGTAGAATAAACACACTTACATATAAACCCTTTAAAACATTTTGTCTGAGTCCTGTCTTCCTGTTTGCATATGTAGGTTGATGGGAGGTAGGGGAATATATCAGCTCTGAACGGGATGGGCAAACAGAGTTGAACATCTTATTGAGAAAGGCATCAAGGGCCCATTCAAGTTGTGCTGAAGGTATGGCTGCCTTCTTTGACTGTTTTTCTCAATGAACACCTGTAACATCCATAAACAAGCCAATGTACATGAACGGGAGAACACAAGCACAGCTCTGATACATATAATCAATGCCTGTGCCATTTATTTACGACTCCTCCTTTTCAACCACTGTGTTTATAAGAGAAGAGAGTTCGTGAAGAACCTGCAAAGGCGTCAACTGTTTACGTATGAGGGGCCTGTGAACTGAAAACATATTAGAAGGAAAGAAAATCATATTTATGTAACTGCAGTGGCATAAAAACTACCAGCAATTACTAATATTTTATTTTATTGTAAAAACCCACTAAATATTAGATTTCCCAAAAACAGAACAAAATCCTCTGGTTTCTATTACAGTCAAGCTTAAAAAAAGGGTACTACTTAATTTTTATTTGGAAGCAATACATATATTGCTTGCCCCAAGTGTTATTCCTCTGAAGGGATCTTAAGTATGCCTGTTTCCATCCTACTGATGCAGGACGTTTGCTTAACTCTGTCCTTACTTTGTTTTTGATTCTGTTTTGTTCCAGGTTGATAGTTAATGCTAAACCAGAGAGTATAGGTGCGTACTCTGACCAAGCATGCATGTAGCTGCTCAGAATTCTGCGGGTGTCCTTGAAGACCTTCAAAATGGTTACAAATTTGTAGTTTTCAAAGTGAGAGAAGGAGATGATCCAATGTGTAACTGAAGAGTAGTCATGTTAGCCATATTTAATTGTAACTAAATGCAAAGGAAATGATGGAACTGAAGTTTAGAATTTCTCCTATTCCCACACTACTAGTTGTAGTATGGCTCACAGCAGGCCAGGTGGGGTTCTTGGCCTGGAAATGTTGTGTATTCCCAACATCCAGCCTCAAATCAATTATAGGATGGAGAGACAGGGAAAACATTCTACCCATCCCTGGGGCTACCCAGTTTGGGCAAATGACTACTAGATGAGAACAAAGAGTTTTGTTGTGGTTCTGCTCTCTTTTTTCCTTTCCCTGATCTCTTTAATTAAATAAAGGCACTCCTCCCACCCCCAAGAAATTCAAATTGGGAGCAGTGAGATACAGAAAAATATAATATTCTGTTGCCAGCTAGTAGTGGTCTGGATTTTTTGCAACCCAGATCTGGTGGTCCCACCCATCTCTAACAAGTGAAGGAATGACTTGTACAGCATTCCAAATTCACAACAGTCTTTGCCACTCCTTAATGAATCTTGGTCAGGAAAAGTAACTTGTGCTCATTTGGTTGTGTTTCTTTCTCTCTTTATTCTTTGCCCACCTTTAGTCCTGTTTCTTTCAATTTGCAATTTCTGTGCCATCCACAACTATCAGCTGATAGAGGTTGACTTATGATTATGAATATAAGTGCCTTACATCAGGGTTCCTCAACCTCAGCAACTTTAAGACGGGTGGACTTCAACTTGCAGAATTCCCCAGCCAGCCATGCTGGCTGGGGAATTCTGGGAATTGAAGTTCACCCATCTTAAAGTTGCTGAGGTTGAGGGACCCTGTCTTACACTGTCATTCTCTGGTCTTTGCTTTCTCAGAATTTGGCTATCAGCTTATGTCCAAAGAAAGCTGGAGTTATCTATGCTTCTCCTTCCCATGCTTTAAGATCTGACCTGCAATAAGAGGCAGTTATCATCCTTTACTTGTCTACCAATTGATCTGACTAAACTTATTTAAGATACATGAATCCAGATTTAAAGAAACCATTCAAGTATGTATGTATTTGCAACTTTCTTTAGAATGTCCAAACTTACCATCAAGATTCATTTATATCTTTAATTACAAAAGCAGCATATTTTCTAACCCATTTCAGGATTACCGAACATTTAAAAGTTTCAGCCGCAGATAAATTGTAATGTACTGTTCTAAGCAACTGGGGAAACACATGTCTCCTGCTTACCCAGACTCTCAGAATTGTAGTTCCCACTGTAACATTTTCAAACAGGCTGACGTTGTAAAGGATTTGGCTGAAAATCGGTCGGTTGTCATTCTCATTGATGAGGTTAATCTTCACCCGTGCGAAACCAACATGGTCTGGTATGCTCTCATTTGCAAATAGCTAAGTAGAAAGAAATGAAAAATAATCAGGATGAAGCTTTCTCTCTCTTCCAGTGAGAAGCCCTTGTTTCCCTATAAATGTCTTTCATAGCAGGCCATGCGTGAAGCCTTGAACCAAAACATCACTGAACACACAGGATAGAGGAGAGTGTGCTCACTGAAACATCAGAGCTTTCCTATGTCGCTCTGCCCTTTTTTTGGATTTTCATATGGAATCTGACATAGTCCTGCCATACTCTTGCCAACAAAGGTTTACACTTCAGCCTTGCAAACAGTAGCATAATCTGAAACTAATAGAGGCGAATAGACCAAGCTAAATCCAAGTATGCAAGAGAATTCTTGGAAGCCTGGTATTCAGACAAGGCAGCAATTAACAGACAC